GCCTCGACCTTCTGGCCTCAAGCAATCCTTTCACCTCAGCCTCAAGAGCAGCTGGGACTACAGGCACACACTGCCACATCTGACTAATTTTTAAATTTTTTTATAGAGACCAGGTCTTACCATGCTGCCCAAGTTGGCCTGGAACTCCTGAGCTCAACCCTTTCACCTTGGCTTCTCAAAGTGTTAGGATTACAGGCGTGCGCTACCATGCCCCGTCTTAGTTTGCATTTTAAAAATTGCTCTAACTGCAGCAAAAATTTGGCTAGCTTGTTGGCTTCTATTTCTTTTTTTAACAGCTGTAATTAGGTGTCATTGATATATAAATACTGTATATATTTAAGGTGTGCAACTTGATGTTTTGACATATACATACATCATGAAATGATTATCGTATTTTTTTTCTTTTTGAAATTCTATTCGTCTATAAAATCAAGAAGTTTGGAAAAGTGTCCTACATAGGACAACTCTAAAAAAAATTTCATTATTCAGTTTTATTCAACAAGATTTACTGAACATCTTCATTCTGGAGTTTTTAATTGCCTTCACATTTGGAAATCTTATTTTCCAACAAAATATCTGGCTCTTGAGGACACAGGAACCTCTTCAGTTCTTCAGGATTTCTCAAGGAGCTGACCTAGCCATATGGGTGAATGGTAGACATTCCTGAATGGCTGAATCAGATGATGGTCTACACTTGTTTTTGTGTAGAAATGAGAATGACTCACTGTCTGGAACTTGTCCCCAGACCTGTGAATGTTAAGCCTCTGGGCCACTTCTCACTGGCTCCCTGGTGGGCCCTTCTTCCTTGCCAAGGGCCTCGGGGACATGGTGGCATTTCCTTTTTCTCTTTAATATCTCTCTTGGTTACTCAGATTTCTAGTTCTTCTACCCACTCTACCAATTCATTCTGCTTACTGGGATATAGTTTTCTTAGTTTCCTGTTCCTAAGAAAACATACATACTTTCTTCATTTTGAGTTTTAATATTAATCCCTCCTGGCCGTCAGATACAGAATAACAAAAATGGTAAACTCCATCAAGTGGCAAGGTTAAGACATTATACTGCATTCTAAGAGTCATGTTTCCTGTTCTATAATTTGCTTTTCTTTTTTTTTTTTTTTTTTGAGTTGGAGTCTCACTCTGTTGCCCAGAATGGGAGTACAGTGGCATGCTTTCAGTCACCTCAGCCCCGACTTGCTGGGCTCTGGCGATCCTTCCGCCTCAGCCTTCCAAGTAGCTGGAACTATAGGTGTGTACTACCACGCCCAGCTAATTTTTGATTTATTGTAGAGACGAGGTCTCGCCAATTTGTCTGGGTGGGTCTCAGACCCTTGGGATCAGGCAATTCACTCGCCTCGGCCTCCCAAAGTGCTGGGATTACAGGCTGAGCCACTGAACCCAGTCTATAATTTTCAGCTTGACAGAAATGATAATGAGGAATTCCAAACCTTTATCCTTTAAGGTGAATTTCTTTAAAAGTTCTACTCTAAAATTGGTATATTAAATCAGACAAATAAAAATTATATCATTTAAGTGAACTTGGGTGTTATAATAGTATAAATAATAGCCACTCAAAAATAACAGGTTCTAATACCAGAAACCTGTGAATGCTACTTTGTAAGGAAAAAGGGACTTTGTGTTATGATTAAAATAATAATTCGGACACAGAAAGACTATTCTGGATTATCCAAGTGTGTTGAAATACAATCACAAGTATCCTTGCAAAAGAGAGGCATAGGGTGATTTGACACCCACATACATTTATAAGAGAATGTATGGAATCAAGAGATTAAAGAGATGGAGCCACAGATTAAGTAATACCAGCAGCCCCAGAATCTGGGAGATGCAAGGAACAGATTTTCCCTTAGCACCTCAGAAAGGATCGTGGTCTTGTGAAACTTTTTGATTTTGAACTGGTGATACCAATTTCAGACCCCTGACCTTCTGAACTATGAGAAAATTTCTGTTGTTAAAGCCGTGAAATAATTTTTGTTGTTTCAAGTCATGAAATCTATAGTAACTTGTTACCACAACCTCAGAAAACTAACACAAGTCCCCATTTGTCTGAAATGCATATATCTTTTGACCTGTGGAGTAAATGACATCCATGTCAAGGGATTCATGTCTCATTCATTTCTACTTTTCTAGTAGTTGCTTACCAAGCCGAACAGAAATTATTGTTATATTACTGGAAAGTAACACTTGAGAAACTGGAGTTTAAGAAAGGTTTAGAAAGAAGGATGATATACTTAACTATTACTCATTCATTTAATAAACAGTGTGCAAATTATTACTATGTGTCAAGTTTTGTGCTGAGTCCTGTAATAAAAGCTGAGTAAGACAGGATATTTGTCCTTAAGAAGTTTAGTTTATTAGAATTGGACACACACATATGGATAATTAAATAATATGTGAAAAATGCAGTAATGATCACAACATATCCAGGATGTGTCCATATGAGTATTAACAGGGAGTGAGTTAGGGATAGCTTCATGGGAAGGTATGCCTCAGAGCTGAGACATAAAGAAGTATGGTAATAAAGCAGAATGAAGGAATACATTTTTAATGAAATTTCCCCCATGCAGATCATATTTTGAAGGACAGTATCTACAAAAAAAGTTTCTGTGTTTGTTAAGTAATAATAGGTCAATGGCATCTCTAACTGCCAAATAGAGTTTATAATTGGCATAAGATAATTTATAGTCATACTATAGCTTATTAGTACTTCAACCAAGAACAAATGTGTTTGTCATCTGAATTTTTCTGGTGAAATTTTTTCCTGGCAATATTTTTTCCCTCAAACTCACCACTATACTAGCAAGGAAAGAGTGTGATTTTATGATGATATTTGAAATACTGATATATGCACAGAACTCTCTTCTCATTACTTCCAAGGGCAGATTTCCTAGCTTGGGAAGACGTAAACTACTTGTATTAAACTATCTGGACTAGAAAAAATTATATTGTAAGGAATCTTATTAATGAGAGTGCCTGTAGTAAAACAGGATGATAGCTGTGTCCCTTGGGGATGACTTGTAGTACTGTTTCCTTGTATATCAACATAAACAGGTCCCAGGCCCCTTTTACAGACCTATGAAATAATGGTGATAGATATAATAAACAGCATTTGTATAGCATTCTATCATTTTATAAAAGAACTTCACAACAGTACTTGATTATGGGTGTGTTTGAACCATAAGCAAACTCCATTTCACCACCACAGACATGTTTCTTAACCTCTTTTAGCTTCTATATTTTTGCCTTTAACTGGGGGCACCAACATCCACATGGATGGTTCTTTGAGAATTAAGTGAGAATTAAGTGAGAATTAATATGAAGTACCAAAGACAGTGCCTGACACTTAGTAGGTACATACTGAGTTGAAGCCATTATTTTTGTCTTTTTGATGTTGTTGTTCTGGAAGTAGCTAAGTTTTTTTTAAGAATGTCTTTTATTTTCTTATTCTTCAATTGCTTCACTCTTTCAGTCATGGCACAAACTGAATTTGCCAAGGAACACCCCCCCTTTTGAAATTAAAGCCCTAGGGCACCAGTGCACCCCAGATTTTGACTTCCCCTCAGTGGTGATGCTCTTTGGGTTCTTTGCCTGCTCTCTTCTTACTCCTTTAGGTCTAACACCGTCAATAAGAGATGGCATTATTTATAAATAATATGCTCCCTAACTCCAAAAACATATGCGGCGGTTTTCTGGATTTGGTCATGCATGAATAAGAATCAGGAAAGTCATACGTAAAAAAGAGATAACAGGCTATTGTTGTGTGTAATCTCACTGGGACTTGATGTGGATTCATTTCAGATTTTCAAACAGAAGGTTGCAATCTTTAACCAGTTAATTACATTAATTAGCATAAGTACATTGCATGTAGTAAGGGCTGTATGATTTTTTGAAATTTTAATTATATCTTACGGTCTGTGTTGTAAGATGCATTTTGTTTAAAAAAATAGTTTGAAAGTCAAGACATTAGGCTACTGGACGTAAACTTTATCTGTCACTTGTAAGTTATTAAATTTGAGAAAGTTCTTGGTTTAACAAATCTTTATGGAACACTTATTTTGCATCAGACATTCTTCTATATGAATAATTCATTGTTTTCTGTTCCGTAATACTGACACGTTGGCGAGTAGGGTAGGTGACCTGTGTCAATTCCATGTTCTCACCTTTCCCTGGGCCTCTTGTACAAGATTGAGAGGACTCCTATTACATACTGAACAGACAAGGTAGTAAAACACAAATTCCTAAATAGAGTGAATCTGAGCTTCCCTAGAAGCCCCTGACAATGACGTCAACTTTAACCATCAACCTTCCTGGGTTCATTATTTTGCAATGCCTTAAAATCTTTACATCAACATGAGAAAGTGGGGAAAGGGATAAAGGAGGGGGTAGGGAAAGGGAAACTTTAGGTAAGTGTTGTCAGGTGGGCTTTTGTTTCCGGCCCCAATGTCGTTACCAAGGCTCTTTGAGTTGAACTTTTCTGGGGGAAGACAATCAGTCCAAAAGAACGAGGGTGTGTGTGTGTGTGTGTGTGTGTGTGTGTGTGTGTGTGGAACTTTTCTGGGGGAAGGCAATCAGTCCAAAAGAACGAGGGTGTGTGTGTGTGTGTGTGTGTGTGTGTGTGTGTGTGTGTGTGTGTATGGGGGAAGACAATCAGTCCAAAAGAACGAGGGTGTGTGTGTGTGTGTGTGTGTGTGTGTGTGTGTGTGTGTGTATGGGCGCGCGAGCGCGCGGCGAGGGTCTCCATTTTTCTCCACGTTGGCCAGTGTTTCGAGTTGGGCAGATCGGGCTAGCCCCTGTGGGGGAACGCTCCCAGGTCCCACCCGGGACATCCTGCACCGAGCAGCCACAACAACAG